CAGGCCTAAGGCCTTCAGAGAACTTCTCTGGCAATGTTTTTTGTTTCTTTGTTTTTAATCTGTGTTTCTAGTAACCACTCTAAGGTTCTAACCCTTGTCTATTATTCTTAAAATTCTAGTGATTTTGGTTCACCCCGAGACAGCCAAAACCTCAGACATATCTGAGAATTTTCTGCGATGACCTTGTGGTACAGAGATCTATCAGTTTTCTTTGGCTAGCAAACAAGTTACCATAGACTCAGACTCCCAACATCTGCTTATCACCCCGTCCCCCACCCCAGTATCTTCACAGCAGAAAGGAAGGCAGACTCAGACGACTCTAGCCGGTGAGCCTAGGTTTAAGGTATCACAAAGTCCCAACCATGGCGCTAGCTATGGACCTCCAACTTCTGCTCCAGCCTCCTGCCTTCTGACTAGGAGACTTTGGTATCCTACAGCCTTTGCCTTCAGGTCCCATTTTCTGCTGGTAGCTAGCCGGGCTTCATTTCACATCTAGCTCCCTAAGTCATTGTCCCATCCCTTTCTGTGTCTATTGCTGTTTCCAAGCTCCTTCTGCAAATTAAGTTACTGTGTACCCAGAAGAGTACAGAATCAGAGAGGCTTTGTGAACTTGGGCTTCTATGACTGAAACCCCCTTGATGGGCACTCATTTGGTAACTCCTGTGATGGCTAATCTTGGACGATCATCCTCTTAACACACCTGGGAAGAGGGGACTTCAACTGCCTCCATCAGACTGGCCTGTGGCCGTAACTGCAGGGCATTTCTTGATTGCTCATTGATAAAAGAGGACCCAACCTACCATGCACAATACCATTCCAAGGCCGGGGGACCTGGGCTACATATAAGAGAGCTAAGTGAGGGCTGGAGAGGTGTTCAGAGAGGAAGAACATTGATTGCTCTTCTAGAGGATCTGGGTTCAATCCATAGCACGAACAGTTCCAAGGGATCTGATGCCCTCTTCTGGCTTTCTACCTGGGCTCTGCACAAACATGGTGAACAGACATACATGCAGGTAAACAGTCATACACATTAAAAAGAAAAAAAAATGAAGATTTATTTGAGAGAAACTAAATAGAACCAGAAATCAAATTAGTAAAAAGTGTTCCTCCATGGTTTCTGCCTCCAGGTTTTAGATTTCCCTGACTTCCCTTTGGAATGGTCTGTATGAAGTTATAAGTCATAAGCCGAATAAACCCTCCCCTCTCTAAACTGCTTTCGTTCAGTGTTTACCACAGCATCAGAAAGCAAATTAGTACAGTTCCCTGCAGTGAACTTTTGGTTTCTGCTTTGTCCTCAGGGCACAGTTTGACTGCAGTTTTCTCTCGCAGCTCAGGCTTGCCTTATCAAGTGGTAGCACCTTGCTCTTCTGGACATTCAGGAACTGTGTGAGAGTTTCTAGTCTGTGCTGTGTGGACACATGCAAAGCACAGCTTGTATCTTATCAATCACAGAAAGTGCCAGTCGTTTGTGCAAGTGACTTTTCTAAGATCTTCCGGAAACAAATAATGAAGGCATATACGGATATAAAGAATAAAATACTCTTCATTCATTTCACTTGAAACTCAGCCAAATTAAACTACCATGTGTTATAATACATGCTCACAGTACCAAGATCATATCAAATAACAAACTTCTCCGAACAAGATACAGTCAGTGCCAACAATTATGTCATATAGTAAATTACCTTTGGGAAACATTCATCTTAAGATAGGTTTCAGCACACACTGTTTAATTTTTAACAATATAAATTAAGAATCTGACTTTCGTGTTTTGGGGAATACCCCCTGTTCAATCAAAGCCTGTTGCAGGCTGTCTCTGTCATCTGCATCATCATCAGAGTGGACTTCTATCTGCATCAGCATCACAGCTCTCCTCCATGAGCTCTCGGTGTTGTGTAGCACAGGGACTGTAGGACCCACAGGAGCCTCTGAGACCTTAGGGAATTGTCTGCTTTAAGTTTTATCTTCTAATTGTGTAAGTGTGTGTGTGTGTGTGTGTGTGTGTGTGTAGGTATGTGCGTGTGACTGCAGGTGTCCCCAGAGGTGAGAGGTAAGATCCACTTGGAACTGGAGGTTATGGGCCAACCAATGTGGGTGTTAGAAACCAAACTCTGTTTCTCTACAAGCACTCTTAGCTCTTAACCTCAGAGCCATCTATCTCTGCAGCTCTTGAGGAGCATGTCTAATTAGATTTGTGACTTCCATAGTTTACCTTTGTGCTTTCTAGCACATGACATTAGTCTTCGCACTGAAGGTAAGCTACCAACCCGAAGTTATCAATGTGGCTCAGCAGATAAGAGTGGTTTGGAGAAAAAAGAAGTAAGGTGTGCTGTTGGGAGTGCAGACAGCCCGAGGACAAGTGATTAAACAGTGTCTTTCATTTCCCTGGGAACCTTCAAGTTAACAAATTTTATGCAAGCTAATGAAGTGATTAATTTAGCCAATGTTTCCTTGCCATCTCACTGGAGGATGTGTAGCAGACATAATAAAGTTACAAAAGCTCACCTTGACAGATGACATTTAACATCAGTTCCAAATTGGTGTAATTCTATGTGATCATTGCTTTGATTGCATATGAACATATGGCACAGACCATATATAAGGACTCATGAAGGTCACTTGTTACTAAGTTGGCTTCCAAGGTTCTCAGCTATTTACAGTGTGATTCACAGAACACCTGCTTCAAGTTCAATGACATTGTCAGAGGACCCTAACTTGCTGTTTATAAGTTCCTTTCTGTCTCTAGGAGTTAGACAAGGGTATAATTTGAAATTCATGCTACTAAGTCTATTGCCAGTGTAACACTGGAGTCTATTGACAATTTATGTTGTATCTCAAAGCCTAGAGAATAAAGGGAAAACATTGCAATCAGCAACTTAACCATAGCTTGGGCTGGCATTCTGCAAAACACAACTTATCTGGTGTTTCCCCTATCCTTTGAGAGAAAACACCTGTGCCTCATATGTTTTATAAGAAAAGACTATTGAAGGAATTTTTTCTAGAACAGAGAAGGTGATAAGTGCCTTCCATATGAAAAGCTCAAACAGGCACTCCTCCAAAAGGCACTAAAGAGGACAGGCACAACAAGATGTGCCCCATAGTCTCTCCCTGTCTTGGTCCTTTGAGGCAGGATCCTACGAAGCAGTCTAGACTGGCCTTGGACACTCAGTAATTCTCCTGTCTAGAGTTTTGGAGTGCTGGAATTCTAGGCGTGAGCTACCATATTCTTATATGGTAAAAATCTTTTCTATGCTCTCCATTTCTGTTAAGTTCAGTCAGTATAAGCAGCATGTCTCCTGTTTGTGTAAACAATGCCTGTATACTAATAGCACTTCATTACTGTGGCACCTTCATTACTTTCTGCTTCTGCCCTATTGAGTGGTGTGTGGCATAATCTGTGTAGAATTCTTTAAATTTGTGGGGAAATGGAAAAGGCCACCAAAGGCAACTTCTTCCCTAGCCCTTCCAGATGAAAAGCAAGCACTTTTCTTTCTAGGATGGTGATCTATCTCAAAACTCAAAATATAGCTTTATGGGAGTGACCAGTGTATTCTCTCTCTCTCTCTCTCTCTCTCTCTCTCTCTCTCTCTCTCTCTCTCTCTCTCTCTCTCTCTCTGCAGAGAAACAGGCAGAGTGGCTAGATACTTGTAGACTTGGTTCTGTGTGGTGGTTAGTCACTGCCTCCCACACTTAAGACCCCTGCAATATGTGCCTTCCTGAAATTCAGTGGGAATCAAATGTAAGCTCTCTGGAATATGTGCAGTGAAGACCATGTCATCTAGCAAGGAAGCACACAGCAAACAGAATTCTTGAAAGTCATGGCATAATTTGAAGATACTCAAGGCCTTAAAGTTTGGCTTTGTGAGCAAACCCAAGGTTGGCAGGAGTCCTCTACATTTCAAAGCGTCTTAAAATCCCTAGTCTCAGTTTTTGATGTTTGTAGCCTCTGCCTACTAAGTTGTACATAGAAATGGATATTTTTCTTTGTCAAAGGAGAGAACACACATCCTTTAATACCCCATTTTGAAATTTTATTTGTGCTTTTTAATACCTTTGTGGGGTGATTATTTTGGTTGGAGGTGCTGTTTCTAACTGGATGAAACTATTTTATACATAAATGATTAAAGTAAAAAAATATAACTTCGCAGTGTATAAATCTTAAAACATAAACATAAATTTTAGAAGTGTGATGCGTTTTCAACCATATTTGTTGAAAGATGTAGCCCTGAATATGAATCAAAAACGATCTAAGAAACTATATATACAGGATAAATTAAAACAAAGAAGCCTACATGCAAATTAAAATCTCTTCACGTACCGTCTTGCCCTATGCTGTAGGAGACACAGGCAAAGTAATGACTAAAGCTGTATACCCAAACTATAGCTTTATAAAAATCTGCTTTCAGGCAGCTCTGGAATATGTACTCATTTCTGCAGGTTTGCTGGCGACCTGGACAAGGTGCGTGGCACTACCGACAGGTGCAGGAGTTCAGCGTGCTCGAGATAACGCCCCGCCCCTCACTTTGGGCGGGCCTAACTAAGCCATCTCAGCTAGGCACTGGAGGCCAACGACAAGGCTTTCCACTGGAGAGCCCCAGGACCCACAGCACAAAGGCGGCCACCGAGCCGAGCTTGGGGACCAGGACGCCGCCCCACCCCAAGTCACCCGCCGCAGCACCGCCCGCTCTAACTCGAGTCGGTGCAGAGGACGGTGGGCGGGGTGGGGCGGGGCCGTGGCTCGTGGGTCTGTGGGGAATGGCTGAGCATATGGGGCGGGGCTATGAGGTGGGCGGGCCCTGTGGGGAAAGAAAGGTTGGGCAGGGCCTGCGATTGACGGGCCAATGGAGTGGGGCTTGAGTGGGAGGGGCGGGGCCTATGCGGGACGTGACCTATCGAGAGGGGTGTGGTCCGTGGAGGGCGTGGTCTGCGTGCAGCGGGGCGGGGCTGGGCGTGTCTTGCGGGGCGGGCCCTGCGCGGCGGGCGGGGCGGTGGCGCTGGCTGAGACAGTCTTTGCGCCGGCGGCGGTGGCGGCTGTGGGGGCTGGGCGGAGCGCCGCGGTGCGGGGCGGCCGGGCTGGCGGCGGCCGGGAGCCGCAGGCGGGAGCGAGGCGGAGAGCACCGGGAGCTGAGGCGGCGGAACGGCTGTTGGAGACCCCGGAGCGTGGAGCTGAAATGACTGAGGTAACGGCGGGCAGCGGGCCCAAAGAAGCGGCCTCTGCAAGCGGAGCGCTCGGGCCGGGCGGGTCAGACCCTCTCTGGATTCCCGGGGCTGGCGGCGGCGCCCGCGGCGGGACCTGGGCCGCGCCCTGCCCGCGCCGCACCGGGCTGCACCTCGTTCCGAGCCTTTGTCTGTCAGCCGAGCCGGGGCCGGAGCTGCGGTCGCGAGCTCGAAAGGAAGCTGGCGTCCTCCTGGGCCCGAGGGCTGACTGCCTGCCCCGAGCTCAGCAGACATTCTGCGGGAGCAGGTCCGGTGCAGCCTCAGTCCCGAGCTTCCCCTAGGGTCTGCAAACTATCAACAAAGAAGCCCCGTCGGACGGGGCAAGCCGGAGCTGCCTCAGTGGCGCTCTTGCAACAGCTACGCTGTGAGGGCTTTCGGGCTGAAATCCAGGGTGTTCTGTAGGTGGCATAAAGTACCATTTTGTTTCCGTTTCGACAGTGCGGCTTTCAAAATCTGGGTTAATTCTATTAAAGTCTGTCTCGGAAGCATACTCATAGGGGAAGGAAAAAAGTATAAAAAGGAAAATGGGTTTATTAAAGGGGTAATCATGTAACTTTTTGAAAGTGCTTTATGGGGTGAGTTGTAACAAATAGGTTTTAACGCGGTGTTTTGCACTAAAGATATTTTTGTTTGCTTCGTTTTAGTTTTGGGAATTGTTGACTGCCTGGACATGGGAACGGCAAGGAACCTACAAACAGGTCTATTAAGAATCTGTCATCTCGAAAATTTTATTCTATGAATGTTTTCCATTAAGAAGGTGTCAACAGAGGTTTGTGATTTCTGCCACATAAGAGGCTAATTTGAAACAGTTCCCTGGCAGTGGTCAGATGTCTGAAACTGGCAAGAACTAGACTCTAGGCTCGGAATGCTCATCCTTCATCGAGAGAGACACAGCGCTACCTACATACTGTCTAAATGCAATCTCTCTGGTGCCACTTAACATAATGGATGGCTTGTCTGCATCTCATTTTCAGATAGAGCACTGAGGCTTGCAGTGCTGTGGGGGCGTTTCCTACAGATCCAAGCACTGGCCATTCGCTTCTGTTTCCAGATGTGTTTTCTCATTTGTGTACTTGAAACATCTACCATCACATGAACTCCAGATTGAGCCACAGAGTTCTGTGAACAGGAAAGGTCCAGGAATGGTGTTGCCCAGCTTCGGGACAAGCCAGTTTTACATCTGCTTAACAATTAAATAAATAAATCCTTCGCTAATTAAGGCTATGGAACCAAATAAAGACATGCACATTCCTTTGCCAAATGAACTCTAGGGATGTTGAATTTCACTGTAACTGGTCATTCCCAGTTAACTAACATATAAGTTATGCACAAATGGACGTGATGCCCGTGGCACTATATCCGGGTTCTAGCTCATACTGAAGATCAAAAAAAACAAAAAACAAAACCTATTATGACTAATCCTTGGGAAGAGAAAGTCTGCAAAATGGCCCAAACGAGTCTACTGCAAGGGAAGCAGTTTTACTGTCGGGAATGGGTTTTCCACAAGCTTCAGCACTGCCTCCAGGAGAAGTCGAGCTGCTGTACTAGTGTAGCCAATGCACAGTCCCTGGTCGGGAATGCTGGGAATAATGCTAGTGCCATCTCTGGGAAGGGGGCCTCCTGGGGTGTGCTGCTGGTGGGAGGGCCTGGCAGTGGGAAAACAGCCCTGTGCACCGAGCTTTTGTGGCCCAGCTCACCAGCCAGCCTACAGAGAGGTCTGCATCGCCAGGCTTTGGCTTTCCACTTCTGCAAAGCCCAGGACTCAGACACTTTGTGTGTTGGAGGATTTATCAGAGGTCTGGTAGCCCAGATCTGCCAAAGTGGACTCCTTCAAGGTTATGAGGACAAGCTAAGAGATCCAGCCGTCCAAAGTCTCCTAGAGCCTGGAGAGTGTGAAAGAAACCCAGCGGAAGCATTTAAAAGGTAACCACTAGAAGGTAGCCATGCCTGCTCATCTCTGTATCCAAGTCATAGATACCTTGGCTACACTGCTCAGTTGTTGGATGTAAATCACTGTTCCTCACTATACCTCCTTAGTTTTAATAGAAAATTGAGGCTTTGCATTATTGCCTAGTGTGTGGCTTAGATGTGAAGCTTAATTTTAGGAAAAGAGAGCTCCTTTTGTCTATGGTATTGTTTATCGTTTCTGTAAATTCGAAAGGTACATTCTCTAAAACAGACACCTCAGGAAATTTGCTCATGTTGTGGGGTGTGTTCTGCTAACTGGCAGAAAAGTTGAGTGATCTATGGTGGTATTCAACAGCTAACATCTGAAGCATCTTAGTGCTTTGAATGATGAAGACATTGTTGAACTCGTTTAAGAATCTAAGATAGAAGGGTTGGTGCAAGGGAGCACGTTGCTTTTAAATGGTTTCAGATGCAAAACTGCATTCCAGGAAACACCATTCCTTGGAGAGAAGTTGTTTGTCAGTCTCTGCTCATGTATGCAGCAGCAGTCATCCTAGCTCATGTACCTGTTTCTCAGGTGCTCTCTGTGTACCTATTCCTCCTCCACACTATCTAGTTCCTCCACAACCTAGTCTGTATAAAGCATTGCACTATATCATACCTAAGAGGTTTGTGTGTCTGGAGGAGGGATTTGCAAAGGATGACAAAAGCAGTGTTTGTTTTCTGTCCCAAAATCTAAAACTTTTGCAGGTGACATTGAAAGTATTTCATAGTGATAGCAAACACTGTGGGAATTAAGTGTGTTACAGATATTAAACCATGTAATTTTTTTTTAGGAATTCTGTGACACAGGAACCTTTTTTTCAGTTTTCTTGGTGAGGAAACTGAAGGATTAGATAGCAGACGGAAATTACTTAAGGTTGAACCAGTTGGGACGTTGCATACTTGACATTTGAAATCTATCTATATAATTGTAACTAGAGGAGTCATTTGATGAACTTCAGAATAATAGAAGTTGTGAGTTGTGAAGGTGGAGAGCTGGGAGGTGCTGGCATGTGTTTAGTACCGTGTTCAGATGGCCCACAGAATGACTGACAGTAGGAGTGGTGTTTAAATGGGAGATGTTCCATAGACTCATGTGTTTGAAGCTTGGGCCACAGTTAGGTGCAGCCCTAGAGGTGGGGACCAACTGAAGGAAGTGGGTCCCTAGGGGCAGGCCTTGAAGTTCTTAGCCCCACCCCATATCCTGTCTGCTCTCTGCTTCCTGACTGTGACCATCTGCCTCAGGCTTCTGCCACCATGACATTCCCAGTCCAGTGGACTGTGTGCCCTCAAACTGTGTACCCAAAGCCCTCTTGTGAGGCATTTAGTCATAGTAATGGAAATTAGTCATATAGGTAGAGTCGCCTGAGGGTTGAAGGTGAATAGTTTAAATATGGCAGTCATCTTGGGGTAGGGCTTGAAAGACATGACATTCTTCTACACTTGTTAATGTATAAATACAGTCCAGTAAACACTGGACAAATCTTCTGTTTTGTTAGCCATCAATTTCAGGGCTACTGCCTGTAAGCCAGTGAGGAAATCAGTACAAGCATGTGGCACAGACTCAGGCGGGTGGCAGGTTTGGTGGAGGGCACCCTGTTTGGAAGCCCTGCATGCCTTACAGATGGTACATAAACACCCCCTCTTCTCCCTTACTGCCTGTTCTGAAGGAACTTAATAATTAAGGAGCCAGGTTTTAAATTATTCTGTAAGCTATCTGGGTGACATCTTAATTACTTCTAGAGTATCTCATCTAATATCTAAGAGTTCAAACTCTTGTTTGGTAATTGGTTTTCTTTCTCCCCCCCCCCCCCCGATATATTCTCATCCCAAGCAATTCGTTCTTCATAGTGTCATTAATTTTCCTTAAAAATTTCAGGAAATTTTCTCCTTTTCAGGCTTTAGTCTCTGTTTTTCTGCCTGATTTGAAGTTATTAACTAATGGAAGGGAAGGAAGCCAAGTTAGGGCCAAGGGTGAAAACTACACCCACTCTGTTCTTCTGATTGACAGAAGTGCCAGTCCCTTGGTGGTCTCTCCTGTACTTTCATGTGTCTGCTTGCTTGACTTTCCATTCAGTTGTTTAACAAGAAGTCCCTCCTGAACTGAGGCTCCATCTTGGCTTTCTCACCCTTTAGAACCTTAAGAACCCCCATAAGCTTATTGTTTATACCCATCCCACTCTGGTATTTTATTACAGCAGTGCAAAGTGGACTCAGGCAACCCACTTTAAGTGAGTTCTTCAGAAAAATTTATTAGGAACGTGTTTCATTTGAACATGAATAGACACCATTCAATAGGTCACCCAGGAGAGGGCTATTGTTTCCAAGTTGCTAGTTTATTTAGGGAGACAGTAGTAGACAGTTAAGGGGGTGTGTCCTACTTAGAGTTACTAGTGAGAGTTTCTGGGATGAAACACTATGATCAATGGCAACCTGGGGAGGAGAGGGTTTATTTGATTATGCTTTCACATCACTGTTCATCATCAAAGGAAGTCAAGCAGGGCAGGAACCTGGAGCTAATGCAGAGGCCATGGAGGGTGATGCTTACAGACTTGCTCCTCCTGGCTTGCTCAGCCTGCTTTCTTATAGAACCCTGGACCACCAGCCCAGGGGTGGCACCACTCACATTGAACTGTGCCCTTGCACATCAATCACTAATTAAGAAAATGTTCTACAGGCTTGCTTACAACCATCTTATGGAGGCATCTTCTTCTTCTCCTCCTCTTCCTCCTTCTCCTTCTCCTCCTTCTCCTCCTTCTTCTCCTTCTTTTTTAATTTTTTTCTTATTTTACATATCGATCCCAGTTCCCCTTCCCTCCAACCCTCCCATGCCTCCCCTCCCCCATCCTCCCCTATTTCCCATTCACTCCCCAGGGATGGTGAGGCCTTCCAGGAGGGATCATCAAAATCTGTCAAGTCATTTGGGATAGGCCCTCATGTCTCTAGGCTAAGGGGGTATCCCTCCACTGTCAGAGGGCCTCTAGATTGCCTAGGCCTTCTAACTGAGACCCACGTTAAAGGGGTCTGGGTTGGCCCTATGTTGTTTCCTAGGTATCAGTCTAGGGTCCATGAGCTCCCCCTTGTTCAGGTCAGCAGTTTCTATGGGTTTCTGTAGCCTGGTCTTGACCCCTCAATTCATCACTTCTCCCTCTCTGCAACTTGGTTCCAGGAGTTTGACTCAGTGTTTATTGAGGGTGTGGGTGTCTGCTTCTGCTTCCATTAGCTACTGGATGAGGGCTCTAGGATGGCATATAAGGTAGTCATCAATCTCATTATCAGGAAAGGGCATTTAAGGTAGCCTCTCAATTACTGCTCAGATTGTTAGTTGGGGTTATCCTTATAGGTCTCTGGACATTTCCCTACTGCCAGATTTCTGTTCAAACCTTTAATGGCTTCCTCTATTATGGTATCTCTTTTCTTGTTCTCCTCTATTCTGGAGGTATTTTCTTAATTGAAGTTCCTTCCTCTCAAATGACTATAGCTTGTGTCAAGTGGGCATAAAACAAGCCAGCACAGTGTGAGATTAGATAATTGATGCTGGATTAAATAAAATATAAATGTAAGCCTAGAAAAATAAATTCATCCTTTTTCCTTTCTATAATAATTTCAAACCAGCTTTGGTAGCATTACTTTTTTTAACATGTAAATCCTGATAATATTAGTGGTATTGTGAATACCATGGGAAACATCAGGGCAGCAGTCTATATTTGGTGAAGAAAAATCTTAGCTGGGGAACTGGCTGAGGGGAAATTCGATCACATCTTTTTCATCCACTTAACTTCCCCCCCTCAGTTTTATTTTTCAACTTCTTCCTTATGTTTCACTCTTAGACCATGGTAGACTGTGTAGTACCACTAGTTATATTCTTACATGACATGATGTTTGGCTGAGTTTATTGGAGTAACTTTTAATCTAGTTATACACAGCAGCCCTTTTCCCCTCAGAGGTGGCATGCTGCTTCTCAGAGGTAGTTGTCCAAAGTTCCCCGTTGAGCAGACAGTGAGAGTTGTGCTACTTCTGAGTCAAGGTGAGCTGAAGATAGAGCAGTGTGGGGGGCAACTGCAACCCTGCTGTCAGAGAGACTAGATTCTAAGTAATACCCATCCTGTTCCTATGAAGTGAGGTTAAGGATGGAAATGCATTAGAGTGTTCATGTGACACGTGAGCACTGTGCCATGCACACCATTATTTCACTTACTGAAGGACATAAAAATACACAATTGCTTGTTTCTTTTCAATTCCATTCAGTTTTCAATTAATTCTATACTTACAGGGTTTTAAAAACACATTTCTGTTACTCAAAGGAACTAAGTTTATAATGCTCTTTGTTTTATTTGTGCTGAGAACAGATGACTGATTTCTTTCTTTCTGTTCCCTCACATCCCCAGGTTTTCATTACAAAGCTGTGTGTTTTGTCTTCAACATGGCTTCTTCTCTAGTTAGAAAAAGAGTGGCAGGGCTTCCTGTCAGCCCTGTGACCACTAGCAAACCCCAGTTATTTCTGAGCAAATGATAACTGTGTCTGTGGTGAGGTGTTTGTGTCTGTAGTGAGGTGTTGGGGGCAGTGGCTTCAGATCTCTTGTGTGATTTAGAAGCAGGTCAGAAGATGCCGTTTAACTAGGCTACAAACTAGAACTTCCAGGTCCCTTTGATTGAGGTGGACACAGTGCCCAGAAACCCTCATCTCTATCCCTGCCTTTATTTCTGGATAACAGGTTTCCCTTTCCCTCTGGTATTAAGTTTAAGTGGAATAGAATTGTGATGAAATATTAAAGATGGGTGAATGGCTGTAGGGTACTGAGAGTTTAGCAGATAGTGTGTTATTGACAAGGGCAGTGGATTCAAAAAAGATGTCAAGCTGAGCGATCAATCCCCACCCCCCACTTAGCAGAACAGGAATCTGGGAAGGTCTGAATCTATGTGTTGATCGAGTCTGCCATCTCCTTGTTCTTACCTAGGGTCTCTTCCTCACA